TATTCTGCTGCCTTTCCTATCCCCCACTCCCTCACTCCACTCCCCTCCCATCACTTCTCTCTATCCAATCTAATGTGACACACTTTTTTTTCTTTTTTCCTCACAACATCATACATGTATTCTGTATAACCATGAGGGTCTCCTTCCATCTTCCGTGCAACTCCCCTTCTCCCTCCTTTTCCCTCTGATGTGTTTATATAGAATATATTAGGGTTTTTTTGGTTTTGTTTAGAATATATTGTTAACATTTCTTTAAGGAATTTGGGGAAAATCAGAAATATATGAACAAATCTAATTCTGAGGATATAATATTACTAAACAAAAGAATAACAAAATGTTCTTTTTATACTAGAGTTTTGAGTTCTTTTGATTTCTTGGACAAAAGTACTTAAGAAAATAAGTACTCTTGCCAGGCATGGTGGTACTTGGCTGTAATCTCAATAGCTTAGAAGGCTGAGGCAGAAGGATCGAGAGTTCAAAGCCAGACTCAGCAATTTAGTGAGAGGGCAACTCAGTGAGAACCTGTCTCTAAATAAAATACAAAAAAGAGCTGGGGAATATGGCTTAGTGGTTAAGTAGTGCCCCTAAATTTAATCCCCAGTACCAAAAATAAAAGAAAGAAAGTAACCACTTTTCATAAACTTTATTGTCCCTGTTGCTAATTTTCTGGTTTCTGTCTAGATGTAAATCATAATGATGGTTCTGCTTTTTTAAATAGAATTGAAATTCAGTATATACTTTAAGAGATAAGGCATTAAGATAATTAATAAACACTTTTTTGTTGTTGTTTTCTCATTTGTAGATTTGTGTTCGCTATTTTCAAACATGTAGTAATGTTCATGTTTTGAAGCCAAAATATGTGTGTTTCTTCGGTTATCCTTCATTCAAGTATAGTCATCCACATCAATTGCTGAAAACAACTGCTGGTAAGTATGACCTCAATGTAGCTAATATATAAAATAATGCTAAATACTTCACCAGTATTTTTTTCTTTTTAACTTTTCTTTTTTTAGTAATTGAAGTTTTTTTTTTTTTTTTTTTTTTTTTTACCATAGTAAAAAAGAATTAAGACCATATTTCTAGCCTGGCTGTCCCCACATCTTTTCATTTTCTTTTTTCTCTCCTCACCCCCATGCTTCCCTTTATGCGCTGTGTCTTTCTAATTTGGGAATTGGTTGGTTGGGACTATTGAGGCTTTATCATCTGACTCATCTAAGTGCAGTAGTTAGCACTGACATTGATTGACCTTCTCAATCAAGCTATCTTCTAATAGAGGCATCTTAATATCTGTGTGTGTGTGTGTGTGTGTGTGTGTGTGTGTGTGTGTCTCGGGAATTGAACCCAGGTCCTTGTGCATGTGAGGCAAGCACTCTATCAACTGAGCTATATCCCCAGCCCCTGTGTCTTTTATACACACTGTAATATTGTTTTTTGGACAAATACTTAATCTGTTGTTCTGTGTTATGTCATGGTGTGGTGAAATCTGCATGACATACTCCTAAGTAGAAAGTTACCTAGCTTTTGGCATTTACTTTCCTTTTCCCCAACTTTTTCTACCTTCTGTAAAGACATTGAGGACTTAAATATTAGATTTGGCAAGGGCACAAGAAGTTTTTTGATGTTCTATTGATAACCCTGACAAAGAATTCCTGATATTTTATTATATAATTAAACTTTTTGATAGATAAATTGAGCCTTAGTGTAGTGAAAAATAGGGGAATTCAGACTGGGGTCAGAGCTCAGTGGTAGAGCACTTGCCTGATATGTGTGAAGCACAGGATTTGAGTCTCAGCACCGCATGTAAATAAATAAAGATCCACTAACAACTAAAAAAATTTAAAAATAGGAGAATTCCAGGCAGACCCCACTCTTCCATGCKTTTTATATGTCATCTTACACCATGACATATAAGACATGTAAGRCATACAAAGCATGTAAACCTTACCTCCACCACTTTTTTTGTTAAAATATGCATACATATATATTTTTTAATAGTACTAGAGGTTGAACCCAGAAACTCACACATACTAGGCAAACACTCTACTAATGAGCTACTTACCCAGCTGAGATTTCTGTTKTTTTAAGTTGATCTTTTTTCATTACTTCCAGACAAAACAGAGGTCATTCAAGCAGAAATTCCAGCTTCCTACTCCAGCCTCTAAACACTTATCTTGAGCTTTGCATTCCTCAATCCACCAATTCCAGGCTATATCTCCTGGTTTATCATTTACTAACTGTGTAACTTATAATAAGTTATGTAATTTTTCTCAATGTCATCATCTGGAAAATGGGAGTGATCCAAGTATTTAATTCATAGTATTGTTGTGGGAAATCATTTATTCAACAACAGGTACTGCTAATCACCTGCTGTGTGCCAAGGCTGCTCTAGGTGGACATATCAGTAAACTAAACAAAGATTCTTATACTTGGATGGATTAAATACATTTAAAAATGTAAAGAATTTGGTACCTATTTTCTCTTGATACTCATTCTCTCTCTTTTTTCCTTTTGAGATGGGTCTTGTTATATTGAGTAGCTGATCTCAAACTCTTGGTCTCAACTTACACTTCTGCTTTGACTTCTYAAGTGGCCAAGGCTACAGGTGTGTGCCACCACACCCAGCTGCATATTCTTTCTCTTTTACAGGTCCTCTTCCTCTGCTTCACTCTTAAATTTCAGTTTTTCACGGAAACCCATCCTTCTTACACCCCATCTATGCTCATGCCTTCAACTCTCACCTGTATTCATTGAACATTTTAGAATCTGTATCTGTACCTCAGACATATCACCAATTTGCTGGCTGAAGATCTCTATTCCAGGACCCCATATATAACTCAAATTCCCCAAATTCAGTGTTCTACAAATTTCTTATTATTCCTGCATTCCTAACTCAATAAATAGTTAAGTTGGAAACCTGGAATTACCCCGACTCCTTGTTTTGCATCAAATCTCACCCAAGCATACCAATTTTATTTTGACTTTTCTGGTACTTGACTATATSCAGGCATGCTCATCTACCACTGAACTACATCTCCAGCCCTTTTTTTTTTTTTTTTAATGTGGTGCTGAGGATCAAACCAAGGGCCTCGAACATGCTAGGCAAACACTCTACCACTGAGCTACTACCCCAGCTCTAGCCCTTTTTATTTTTTGAGACAGAATCTTGCTGATTTGCTGAGGCTGGCCTCAAACTTGCAATCTTCCTGCATCAGCCTCCTGGGTTTCTGGAATTACAGGCATGTGCCACCATGCCCATCAAATTTACCAGTTTGACATCTTTCCTGTTTCTTAAATGATTCCCTTTTAGACAGCTTTGAAAAATATATCAGCTCCTGCTTTCTCTGCCTTATTTTGCCTCTGCTATTTTTCTCCCAACCCTACTCACCATGCTCTTGCCAGAGGTGTTTGGTCTGATATTATAAATGGGACTCTGTATCAGTTAATTATTATTGAATAACAAACCACCCTGCAACTTAGTGGCTTAGAGCAACAGTGATTGATTATTCCTCAGGATTCTTTGAGTTGGTTCCTCTGCTGGTTTCACTAATGTGACTGTATTTATCTAGAGGATCAGCAGTCCTAGGGGTGAGATCCAGGAGGGTCACACTCATGTGCCTGACTATTGGGCACCTCATTTTTCCTCCACAAAGTCTCCAGTGATCTACATCAGCTTCCTTGCACAGGGACCTTAGGACATAATTCCAAAAGGGAGAAGGCAGAAGCTGTGAGGACCCATGAGATCTAGTCTCCTTGAAATTGCATGATTTCATTTCTGCTACACTACATTAGTCAAAATAAGTCAGAGGCCAACATAGATTTAAGAAGTGGCAAAAAAGACTCTACCWCTTAACATGAGCAATTACAAAGAAGTTATGACTGTATGAATTACTACTGAATCCTAATGACCTTTAAGATAAAGTTTTATTACAACCCCTTAGCAGGGCACACAAAGCGTTTCTGTGTCTGGGCTAATTTCTTGCCATGTACTCCATCTTTAGCTGTATAGGACTGTTTGTTATTTCCTAACCATGCCATGCAGTATCATATTTCTATGCTCTTGCTGTTCCTTACAATATATTGCTTTATAAGAAGTGCCATAGTGTATTTACGCTTCATTTTCTTGAAAGACTGACTTCCAGTTCTTCATTTTAACTCTATAGTAACTATTCTTCTGTTCAAATCTTTGTATACCTTTCTAATTAGTTTCTTGGGGGAAAAAGTCCTAAATATGGAATTATTTATTGATTGAAAGATGTGGATTTATTTTTTAAAGTTTTTGATACTTAATGCCTGTACCTGTTTAAAAGAAGCAGCAGACTGTGAGAGGGCCCCAAATTAGAAAGGAAACAAGAGATACCTCCACATCAAAAGTGTATTTTAAGGCCAGGCATGGTAGTACACACCTATAATCCCAGCAGCTCAGGAGGCTGAGGCATGAGGATTGCCACATTCAAAGCCAGCCTCAATAACTTAGTGAGGCACTAAGCAAGTTAGTAAAACTCTGTCTCAAAATAAAAAAAGGGATGGGGGTGTGGCTCAGTGGTTAAGTGTCCTTGGATTCAATCCACAGTGTTAAAAAAGGTGTGTGTGGGGCGGGGCAGGAGTGGGTATTAAGAAAGGGATAGAAAATGTCAAGAGGAAAGAGAAGTCTTAGGGAATAAGGTGATGCAGCAGGATTTGAAAATGTAAGAATTTTCCATGAAGGGCCTGATTTTTAGCCATAAAGACTGAGCATAGTTACATGAAGTCAAAAGAGATCTGAGAGTAGGCCACTAGTGGTTATTGTAGCTGCATAACATAAAACAAGGAGATCCAGCTGAGTCTCTCTTTGTATCTGTTCCATTGTCTATTCATTATTATCGTTTCATAATCTTATTAATTTGGCTAGGCATGGTGGTGCATGTCTGTAATGCCAATGATTATAGGCTGAGGTAGGAGGATTGCAATTTCATAGCCAGCCTCAGCAAATTAATGAAGTCCTAAATAACTTAGCAAGATYCTGTCTTAAATAAAAAAGATTGGGAATATAGTGGTTAAACACTCCTGATTTTATTCCCTATTACAAAACAAAACAAATTTTTAAAAACTCTCTGATTTGTTRGTAGGACTTCTATAGCCCTGTAAAAGAACATTATTTTGAAATTTGGAAAAATTTGGGTTCTGTGGCAGCGTCAGGATTCTGTGTTATGGGTATCTTAGATTAATCTTAATGATTGTGAATAATGATTCATGCTTTTAAAAATTATAAAATGATGTTTTTCTGTCTGTAAGATGGAATAGTTTCTGCCTCTGAGGATATTTTCTAATTTTAGATGTAAAAGCATTTATGGGTAATAAGTACACATTTAATGAGATTATTTCTTTTTTCTTTAAAGCTCTACATGGACAAGTTGTTCAGTTCAAACTTTCAGACATTGGAGAAGGGATTAGAGAAGTAACTGTTAAAGAATGGTAAGTTAATCTGAAAGAACATTCAAGTAAATGGTAAAACTCATTTGAGTACAAATAAGTAGGAATCAATTTAAACTGAGAAACTTCTTTATATAACCTATAATGCCTTTTTAAAAAATTAATAAGGTAGATGGGCTGGAATTGTGACTCAGTGACAGAGTGCTTGCCTTGCACATGTGAGGCACTGGGTTCAATCCTCAGCACCACATAAAAATGAATAAACAAAATAAAGATACTATGTTCATGTATAACTTGGAAAAATTTTTTTAAAAATTAATAAAGTAGAGTTACTTTGTGTTGACAATATACTGGTGACAGAATTTATCATACATCAAGACATTTTATTTGTTGTGATTAATTAATGATTATTTCCTCTTTGGGGCAGGGTGGGGAGTTTCCAGGGATTGGAAGAGGGGCACTTAACCACTGAGCAATGTCCCCAGGCCTTTTTATTTTGTGTTTCGAGACAGGGTCTCACCAAGTTGATRAGGCTGGCTTTGAATTTGGCAGTTTCCTGTCTCAGACTACTGAGTTRCTGGGATTACAGGTGTGCACCACCACACCGAGCAATTATTCCTTCATTTTGTATGTGTGTGTGGAAGGTATTCCCTGCCTTTTAAAAACTCCTTTTGCTGTCCTTCTCTTACTGTAGTTAAGAAAGAGGAATTTACCTTTTTGAGGGAGGGCACTGGGCACTTTGGCACATCTCCAGACTTTTTTTCTTTATTTTTCTTTTTCCTTTTTTTTTGAAATAAGGAGATTACTATCTTGCTAAGTTGCTTAGGGGCTCGATAAATTACTAAGACTGGCTTTGAACTTGCAATCCTCTTGCCTCAGCCCCCTGAGCCACTAGGATTATAGGTGTGTGCCACTGTGCCCAACTAAGAGGAATTAACTTCTAAATTAATATAAGACCACATGGTCTTCTTTTGGATTTTTTTTTTTTTTTTTTTGGCAATGCTGGAGATTGAACCCAGGGACTCCCTCATTGTAGGAAGCACTCTACCACTGAGCTACATCCCCAGTCTAGGACTGTAGGTTTATTTGTTTTTTAGTTATACATGGACACAATATCTTTATTTTGTTTATTTATCTTTATGTGGTGCTGAGGATTGAACCCAGTGCCTCATATGTTCTAGGCAAGGGTTCTACCATGAGCTACAACCCCAGCCCAGGACCATATGTTTGTTTGCTTGTGTGTTTTTAAATTTTTTTTTAGCTATACATGGACATAATATTTTATTTTGTTTATTTTATTTTTATGTGGTGCTAAGGATTGAACCCAGTGCCTCACATGGGCAAGGCAAGCACTCTGCCACTGAGCTACAACCTCAGCCCCCCCATATGTTTTTAAAAGCATTTAATGTGGCCAAGCATGGTGACAAATACTTGTAATTCCAGCTACCTGTGAGGCTGAGGCAGGAGGATCACAAGTTCAAGGTAGCCTGTGCAACTTAGTGAAAACCTGTCTCAAAATAAAAAATGAAAAGGTTTGGAGATACGGCTCAGTGGTAGAGTACTCCTAGTTTCAATCTGCAGTACACCCAAGTTAAGTGAATAAATAAAAGTATTTATATGTATGAACTTATAATTTCCATCTAAACTATTTTAAAACATCATCTTGTAGTTGAAGTTTTCTTAACCATACTGAAAATGACTGTAGTATGAATGCTCAACATTACCTAACACAATTTCTCTATATGTTTAGAAAAGATTAAAATATTTTGCTAAAAGTCTTATTTAAAGAAAAATCCCTTTAAAAAAGGTAAAAAAAAAAAAAAAAAAAAAAAACCTGGGGGCTGGTGTTGTTGCTCAGTGATAGAGTGCTTGCCTAGCATGTGAGGCACCAGGTTTGATTTGCAGCATGGCATATAAATAAATAAAAAATAAAGATCCATCAACAACTAAAAAAACAAACAAACTAGTAAAAAATTGTTGACTATCTTAATCACCCTCTATTCTTTTTCTTTTTTGACCCTCTGGAAAAGAAACACCCAGGAATGTTAGGAGGAGGGTGGTAGGCAGGTGGGGGTAGCTCAGTGATAGAACATGTGCTTAGCATGCATAAGGCCTAGCACCAAACAAAACAAAACACTCAAAAAAAATCATACCACCTCTGGGTACTGAACTAAATGTTTTAAAGGTTTTTAGAAATAGCAGTTAGGATGAATAAATAGATTTTTCCCACACTATAGTTTTACACTGTTAAAGAAACTTTTTAAGGATCTGATTCAGCCACCTGAACTTCTTTTCCTGTACTTCTTAGCATTGCTGCTTTGTGACTTAGAACAGAATTATAATAATAGAAACAATTCTTATGGTTATGTCTTTAGTGGTATCATGAGATTGTGAGATGAGCAACAAACTCGAAATGAAAAAAGCCTGACTTTGAAACCCCTTAGCTGTCTTACCTGTGACTCACTTGTTCTGAGTCCCTGTCTGACCATAAAATGAGAGTAACAGTACTGGCTGTGCCTACTCAGAGCAGTCATTGAAAGGAACAAAGGATGCAATGGTTAAAATTATATCCTTTCAAATCTGCAAAGGATTATACACAGGAAGGTTTGGGAGGTGGGTACCAGGAATTGAACTCAGGGGTACTCAACCACTGAGCCACATCCTTAGCCCTATTATGTATTTGACTTAGAGACGGGGTCTCACTGAGCTGCCTAGTGCCTACTTTTGCTGAGGCTGACTTTGAACTTGCAACCCTCCCGCCTCAGCTTCCCAAGCTGCTGGGATTACAGGGGAAGGTTTCTATTTCATCTTCAAATGTAAAGCTTAACTTTTCTGAGTATTGGATTCTTGGTTGGCATCTATTTTCTTTCAGAGCTTGGTAATGTTATTCCAGGACCTCCTAGCATTGAGGGTCTAGGTTGAGAAATTAGCTGAGGTCTGAATTGTTTTCCCTCTATACGTAATCTGATATATTTCTCTTGCAGCCTTTAAAATTCTATCCTTATTTTGTATGTAAGGCATTTCCATTACAAAGTACCTTGGTATGGGTCTGTTGTAATTTTGTACATTTGTGGTCCTCTAAGCCTCTTATATTTATTTTTCYATTTCATTTTTTTTAAGTTTGGAAAATTTTCTGATATTATTTCATTGAAGATTGTGCATTCCTTTGGTTTATATCTCTAAACCTTCATCTATCCCAATAAATATTGAATTTGATCTTTTCATGTTATCCCATAGTTCTTGGAGGTTCTGTTTATGGTTTCTTAACATCTTCTCTCCATGATCAACTCTATTTTCAAAATTATGTATTTTGTCTTCATTGCCTGAGGTTATATCTTCCAAGTGATCTAGTCTGTTGGTAATTCTTTCTATTGATTTTTTTTTTTTTTTTTTGTACCAGAGATTGAACTCAGGGAAAATCAACCATTGAACTACATCCCCAACCCTATTTTGTATTTTATTTAGAGACAAGGTCTCACTGAGTTGCTTAGTGCCTCTCCTTTGCTGAGGCTGTATTTGAACTTGATTCTCCTGGCTCAGCCTCCCAGACTGCTGGGATTACAGGTGTGTGCCACCAGTGCCTGGCTCTATTTAATTTTTAATTTGGTTTATTGTTTACTTCATTTCAAGGATTTCTGCTTGTTCCCCACCCCCCACCCCCAGAATATGCCTCTTTGTTGAAGTGATCTTTCACTTCCTATGTTTTCTCTCTGATTTCATTTTTTATACTGTCCTTTACTTCACAGATCAGTTTAACTATGTACATTCTAAACTCCTTCTCTGACATTTCTTCCACACAGTGGTGTCAGTGGATTTTGTATTGGAGTATCTTGATTTGTTTGGGGCAATCTGTCCCCTTGCTTTTTCATGTTGTTTGTGTGTCTACCCATCTAACAGAATGAATCTGAGTCAGTAGTTTCTACCCTATGTACTTATTGTGTCCCTGAAGGTTTCCAGTACCTTACTGTTTAGGGGGAGACAAATAATAAAAACAACCAATGCAAGTAATATACAGTATTAAACCAAATAGTTCCTACTGTGACATCTACAATGTTAATTATCACAATATTTATTGTGATTTCTGTTTAGAACTGATATGATCAGTTATTGCCAACAATGAAAATAGCAAGTTTGCAAAAGGGTTTATAATTTCAAATGGTGGCTAGGGAGAGAACAGAAATGATATAGAATGTGATGATTCTAAGGGAGGAGAAGACAAGAAGTAAAAAAATTAAAAGACAAAGAACAATAGAGATTGACTGTTAACAGAAGAAAAGAGAATCAAGAGGAACAGGTAGGAGAACGAAATATATATATATATAAAAGTAAAATTTTAAAAAATTAAAAATAAAAGTAAAATAATACAAAACTAAAATACTAATCAAACATCCTAGTTCACAAAAAAACTAATCCATGAAAAATAACTGGCTTCAAAAATGCTAGAAATGAGAAAAAAGACAAATATGAATACATATAAGAATCCATGTACCATTAAGRTCACAATTAAACAGAGAAAAAGATCATGATAAAAAGTCAAATAATTCTTTTCGTTGAAGTTCATAATATTCTCAGTTTCTCTCTTCAGCAGTTTTCAGTGAGGTCCTCTGGAGCCTGATGCTCCACCCTCTGAATTGCCAGAGAGAGAGAGAAGTAATCCTGTAGTCTGAATTCCTATAGGCAATAGTGTGACAAGAAAGTTTAACCCAAGGCTTTCTCAGAGGTGTTTGCATTTCAAAGTTAGGTCCTTGAAAAAACTCTTTCCCAGGCACTGATTTTTATAGAGAGCATCCTTGGGGGTTATTTTTGTAAAACCTGGCCTGAGTTGGGAGCCGAGAAGAGTAGGAAAAAAAACCTCTGTTATATGGACTTCTCTAGCTTGTGAACCTCTGAGCCCCTCCCGCTACACWCTGGGTATAAAGTTCTAAAACTTTCTGAACTCCGCATTCAGGGGGATTGATTAATTGTAGCGAAAGTTTTCCCCTCTGAACCTGGCTGCAGCCAATCAACCTGCTTCTGCTGATTCCTCCATACCAGCCTCTGTC